AGATGGAATGCCTTGTTTCCAGTAAAAAGGGTCTCCGGTTCTCTACACTCACCCATACGAAACACAGCAGTGTTAAGCTGCTATTTTATGCTGGTGTTCTGTGAGAGCGTGGTCCTTCCCCGGTCGAGTCGACCCATTTGTGCTACAACTATACTACTAATATAGCCGCAGCATGGCTCTACCACGTTTCAAAATATATTTTATTTAAAATTTTCAACTAACATAATAATTCTGTTAGTTAAAAATTTTCTATTAATAGGCAAATATTTGAATAGAATTGTATATGCAAGTAGTTACATTCATTTTAAAATAATATTCGTAACTAGCGACCCACCCTGGCTTCCCCTGGATGGGATCTATTAATGTGGCGTTAATAGACTTTTGTATAAAATTTAGTTTGGATCATTTCTGGAAGTAGAGTTTTATTACAATCGGTTTAGCCATTCTAAAAATGCACCCAGATCAGTCGTTATGTTCTAAAATTTTAAAAATGGTTGCTATTATATTATATTATATGCCATTGGGACACACCCAATGGCATATAAATAAAAGGTAGTTTTTTCATTATTACACACACACTGTGATTTGCTATTTTTATGTTTGAGATTAATTTTTCCTTATTGTATTTTGTGAAATTGTGCCCTTAATGGGCATGAATCATGATAATCGCCTTTTTAGATTCGACCTTAAAAATCAAATCAGCAGCTAATATAAATTTATTTTCTAAACCTGCATGAACAATTTTTGATCTCTGTTCTGGACTCTCATTTTTGCAGATTTTTTTTATCTATCTCCTATTGCCAACATTTAGACACCACTTGTCTAAAAAGATAACAGGTTTATTTTTTTGTTTGTTGTATTTTTTGCATCCAAAAAATAATGCTATGTAGTTTTTTCACAAGTTTATTGTTAACAAAATGTAGATAAAATGATGAAAGAAATACAAGAAATAACGAAATAGTCTACGAAAACGAAATAACTAACAAAACTTTACGTTGTATTGTATGTTAAATAAACGTTAAAAAATTAACAAACAAAATCAACTATAAATATGCAAAAACTCACAAAATAGCGAAATTTGGCTGAATTTTTTTTTTTGTTGTTTATGAGATTTTGTTTATCTTTGTGGCAACTGACAAGTCGGACTGGAGTTATAAGATGTACAAAAAGTGCTTATTTAAATGTATTTTTAACCCCTGATGCAAACAAATGTGGCATCGTAGCCCAAACCAAACGGATGAACCGATTTCGATTATGTCTTTTGTATTTTTTGTTTGAAAGGTGACTTGATCGAGAGTGTTCTTAGCTATAATTCAAGAAAATCTCTTCAGCCGTTTGAAGATCAGCTCTTTTTTATTCGGGAGTATTTTTTTGTAGTCTACTGGCGGGTGTGAATATAGACAGTGACAGTGTGCGAGAAAGAGGTAGTTAGTTAGTTAGTACAACAGCTTCTTCTGGGGCACTTAGATAGAAAGGAAATACAATAATAACAAAAAAAAAAGAACTTAAAACAGGTTTTGTCCAAGCATTATGTGTTTCTGTCGACCTGTTTCTAATATGCCTACTTTAATATTTTAATATCATCATCATCATCATTACAGCCCTTCACAAGTCCACTGCTGAACATAGGCCTCCCCCAAAGAATGCCACAAAACACGGTCCTGAGCCACCTGCATCCATCGACTTCCTGCATGTCTTACCAGGTCGTCACTCCATCTCGTGGGGGGACGCCCTACACTTCGCCTACCGGTACGAGGCTGCCACTCGAGAACCTTTCTTCCCCATCGGTTGTCGGTTCTTCGAGCTATATGGCCGGCCCACTGCCACTTCAGCTTACTAATCCGTTGGGCTATGTCGGTCACTGGTTCTACTGCGGATATCCTCATTCCTAAGTTTATCACGCAGAGAAACTCCGAGCATAGCCCTCTCCATAGCTCGCTGAGCGACCTTGAGCTTCCTCATACGGCCAGCAGTGAAGGACCACGTCTCAGTTCCGTAAGTCATTGGTTTTGAGGTATGTCTGACGAGAAGATGTGTCGTAGCTTCCCGAACGCTGCCCAGCCGAGTTGAATCCGTCGATTGACCTCTCGGTCGAAGTTGGACTTACCCAGTCGGACTATTTGTCCCAGGTAAACATACTCGTCAACAACTTCGAGCTTAGTGCTCCCAACAACTATCGGCATAGGTGTGACATGGACATTAAACATGATCTTTGTTTTGTCCATGTTCATCTTAAGACCTATCCGTTGGGAAACACTATTGAGGTCATTGAGCATAGTGCTTAGGTCCTCCAGCGATTCTGCCATAAGGACTATATCGTCGGCAAATCGAAGGTGAGTGATGTACTCGCCATTGATGTTGATACCGTATCCTTTCCAGTCCAGAAGCTTGAAAACGTCTTCCAATGCAGCGGCGAAGAGTTTCGGGGATATGACGTCACCCTGTCTTACACCTCTCTGCAATTGGATAGGTTTCGTACTCTGGTTCTGTACTCGGATAGCCATCGTAGCCCTACTGTACAAGCACTTCAACACTTCGATATACCGACAGTCAACTTGGCACCGCTGAAGGGACTGCAGCACCGCCCAAATTTCGACGGAATCAAAGGCTTTCTCATAGTCCACATACGCCAGACATAGTGGCAAATTGTACTCTTCGGACTTCTGTACAACTTGCCGAAGGGTATGTATGTGGTCTATGGTGCTAAAGCCCTTTCGGAAACCGGCTTGTTCGGGAGGCTGGAAGTCGTCAAGTCTGCGCGCGAGACGATTCGTAATGACTCTCGAAAACAGCACGTAGACGCGGCTCAGAAGGGAAATCGGTCTGTAGTTCTTCAAGAGAGCGTTGTCACCTTTCTTGAACAACAAGACCACCGCACTTCTGCTCCACGCCTCCGGTGTAATGCCACCATGGAGGACGGAATTAAAGAGCTTCTGAAGGACTTCAAGTACCGGTCTTCCACCCGCTTTCAGAAGCTCCGCTGTAATTCCATCCTCCCCTGGGGCCTCACCGTTTTTAAGGTGCTGGAGAGCCATCCTAATCTCGCTCAGACTGACATCCGGGATGTCTTCGGAATAGTGTCGGATGAGACTCGCTCTTGGATCGTTACTCACACTTGCGTGTGGCTCCAACGATGATGTGTACAGCTGCCCATAGAACCTCTCAATCTCACTCAAAATCTCAGGTGTCCCGGAAACGATGCTGCCACATTCTGTCTTCAGCTTTGACAGTTGGCTCTTTCTGGCAGACAGATCTCTGGCAAAGACTTTGGAGCCTTGGTTCCGCTCGATCGCTTCTTCAATACGAGCTGTATTGAAGTTGCGTAAGTCCCGCCGCATGCATTTGGAGATCTGTCTGTTCAGATGCCTGTATGCTGTCAAGTCTGTTGAAGAATGTAGCTTCATCTCCCGTCTAACAGCCATGAGATTAAGAGTGTGATCGGAGAGTTTTTGTGTTCTTCTGCGGCGGGTCTTGCAAAACTTAGCTCCGACCGCATGGACAGTTTCCACGAGCTTGTCATTCATATCGTCCACTTCATTGCAGTCTTCCAGGCACTGAAAACGGTTTTGTAACTCGAGCTGAAAGGTTTCGGGACTTTGGAACGGAGCACGAGGGGGACGGAGCGTTGACTTCATTAGACGAGACCTCTCCAACTTAACGTATAGGTTCAGTGTGCCTCTAACCATTCGGTGATCGCTACCAGTTTTCACCCTCGCGATCACGGAGACATCACTGAACAGTTGTCGTCTGGTCGTCATAATGAAGTCAATCTCATTTTTTGTGGAACCGTCGGGGCTTGACCAGGTCCACTTCCTGTGGGGCCGCTTCTGGAAGAAAGAGTTCATCATAAAGAGTCCCTCTTTCTCCATGAAGTCGGCCAGCTGCTGGCCCCTTGGGTTCCGTTGCCCTATTCCAAATTTCCCTACTTTCAGCTCACCGTTCTCTCTTGTGCCTAGTTTTGCATTGAAGTCTCCCATTAACACCGTATATTGGGTTTTGGAGGAATGCATGGCTCTAGAGATATCCTCATACATTTCCTCCACCTCCTCATCGGGGTGTGCCGAGGTTGGTGCGTAAACCTGTATGACCTTCAGCGAATACCGTTTGGTGATTCTGAGTATAAGGTACGCAACCCTCGTCGACACACTCCCGATCTTTACAACGTTGTTAACGAGAGACTTGTGGACGATAAATCCGACACCTCCTTGGGACAGATGGTCGCCCTCCCGGTGATAGAGCAAGTTGCCGGATTCGAGGATTACCGTGTCCTCCCCCTCTCTTCGGACTTCGGATAATCCTATAATATGCCAGCGCAACTTGTCTATCTCTTCTTCCAGCTCCACGATCTTCTCGTCAGTCCTCAGGGTGCGTGCGTTGTACGTTGCCAGGTCGAGTCGTCTAAGGTGGCAACCGAACCTCCACCGGAGATTCTTAGCACCCCCTGCCCCGCCGTTACCATGGTCGCCACCGTAGCCAGGAATAGCGGGGCCGCCGGGGACTGGGGGCCGTTTTTTTGTTACTGTCATTCATAGGGGGGTATTTGCCATAGTTGCCACGCTTGGCGAGCGGGTTGGCAACCGCAGTTTTTTTATTGTAATTTGGCTATTATCAGGAAGATGCTGCTGCCCATCTCCTGCCTGTTTCCCTTTGTCGCCTTTTACGACACCCACGGGAGGATATGGGGTAGTGGATATTCTTGACCGCCACTACACGGTACAATTAATATATTATTTGTCTTTTGTTTTTAGGTTGATGAATCCTTTGCACTGTTTAGTACCTTTTAAAAAGTCCAAGTCTTTTGTAATTTTTTAAAATTAATCGTATTAATTAATTATTAATACAAAAATATATATGTGTATATGTTTAAAAATTTATAAATAAAAGGTGAAAACATAATTTATTTGCCTTCACATAGTGACATCGGAGCATTGGAGAGATTATTTAGTTATATATAATTTATTCCTCTTTACAGATGGCATAATGGTCTGATTAAGTCCACTATGAGCTGGCTTCGCAACACGTCACTGTCGCTTGCGCGACAGCTGTCCAGATCACTTGACCCCCGACACGATTATGAACCCCAAGCTTGCTATAATTCCTTCTGCAAACATTGGCAACAAGCACGTGAGATAATACTTAAATCTCAGGTAACAATAGTTTTAATTAAACATATTATTTTGTCAGGACTAATATTCCTAATCTTTTCTGCATTAGTTCGGACTCAGGTCAAGAAAATTGTTTGTTAGTGCTAGCTTCCTATATTCAAGAAAAATTTCATCGTCATCATTACAGCCTATCAAAGTCTGATTTTTTTTTAAATAGAATTAGGGTGACAAATGAGCACACAGTCCACCTGATGTTAAGAGAATGCTGTGGCCCATAGACATCTACATTTATCCTCGATTAAGAATAAAATTTCAGATGCATTGTCACCCCCGAGAACTAAGATACTCTTTTTTTATAGGAGAGGTGGCAAAGGAGCATGCGGCTCACCTAATGGTAAGTGACTACCGCCGCCCATGAACTGCAACACCAAAAAAATTGCAGATGCGATGCCGGCGGTTTAAAACGGAGTAGGCTCTTGAAGGTCAATAAGTCGTAAGCGATGGTGAAATTAAGCGGCTGGAATTAGTCCGAACAATTCCCTAGAGCACTCCCCGTGGTAAATGCGATAAAATGCGCAAAGAGATGCAACATCTCTTCGCAGCGCCAGTGCATCGAGCCGATCAGAAAGGACTCGGTCGTCGACGATTCGAGCCGCTCTGCGCTAAATGCGGTCAAGTGGAAGGAGCTGGCACTGGGGAGCCCCAGCTCAGAGATGGGCACAGTATTGTGATGTCGAACCATGTGAGGTCGAACCTGCGCCGGCATGAAATACTGTCCCGCTCTGCTGAGCATGCCAAGCTTTTTAGAGGGCAATTTGGCCTTCTCTTCCAAGTGACTACGAAACCGCACGTCACTCGATATGTCTACGCCAAGGATTCCGATACTGGCTGAAGTAACAAGGGGAGTGCCTTGAAACTGAGGAGATAAGACAAAGGGGTTCTTTTTAACGGTAAAGGCGCAAACTTGTGTCTTATGATGATTAAACTGGACTAGATTTAGTCGCCCCAATCCGAGACTGTGTTTAGCAAAGACTCGACTTCAGACAGAAGTTTGTTCCGGTACTCAGTAACGTTTTCCCGAGAAATATTGTTACGGCCGGTGTATAGAGCATCACCAGTGCTGTCATCCGCATAGCAATAAATTTTACCGGTTTGCAACATGTCATTGATATGCAGAAGAAACAGCGTTGGTGATAGCACACAGCCTTGTGGAACGCCAGCATTAATAGGCTTGTAATCGGAGCATGCATCGTCTACTATGACCTTGATGCTCCGATCAGCCAGAAAACTGGTGATCCAATTGCACAGTTTCTCGGGAAGTACATAGGAAGGAAGCTTCGAAAAAAGCGCTTTGTGCCAGACCCGATAGAAGGCCTTCGCTATGTCCAAACTTGGACTCGATCGCCTTCCTCCATCTATGTCTTAGGTAAACAAGAAGATCACCAGTTGAGCGACCCCGACGGCAACCGTACTGGCGGTCAGTAATCAGCTGGTGCTCCTTAAGGTACCCCATGAGCTGGCAGTTAATAATGGACTCCATTATTTTCGAGAACAAGGAGGTGATGGCGATAGGCCTGTAGTTGGACGGGTCTGAGCGGTCGCCTTTTTTAGGGATCGGTTGGACAAAAGCTGTCTTCCATGATTTCGGGACTGTGCCTAGGGAGTAGGAGTACCGGAAAAGACGCGTTAGAACCGGTGCCAACTCTGCAGCGCACGTCCTCGGCACAATTGCCCGGATTCCGTCAGGCCCACTCGACTAGTGTATGTCCAGGGAGAGTAGTGCTTTGCGTTCTGAGCACTGTGTGAATCGCACATCAGGCATAGAGCACCCACTGCGGGACTGTCGGCGATGTGTTCCCCCCGTCATCAAAAGTCGAGTTAGGCGCAAAAAGGGAGCCTAAAAGGTCGGCTTTCTCTTTTGCGGCGTGCGCCAGTGAGTCATCCTCCCCGTGCAGAGATGGTAGTGACGGCTTACGGAAATTCCCTTGAACAGCCTTGGCGAGAGACCAGAATGCACGAGTTCCCAAAGGAAGGCGAACTAATTTCTCGCCAATTCTGCCATGTGCTGATAATCAATGTGCCTTGGCAATAAATCTTTTGAAGGACCTGGAGGCGAATTTATACTTCCTTTTAAGCATGCTGGTGTTTACATCCTGAGCCGCCGAAGCCTCAGTCCAGGCCTGATAACACTTCTGCTTTTTGTGTAATGCAGTCTTACAGGAGCGACCAAACTAAGGCTGAGATCTGCGTCCGATGGGTACCACAGATGATGGAATAAATAGTTCAATTCTCTACCACATCAGTGACAGAGTCAGTAACAGCGCTGGGGTCATCCGGCAAAAAGCAAACCCGCCCCCATGGGTAGAATGCAAAGAAAGACCGCATTCCGTCCCAATCCGCCGACCTGTAATGCCAAACACGGCAGCAGCCAGCAGAACACAACCGCGAGGGGAGCGTGAGTGGCATCACACTCCGGATCAGACAATGGCCCGAAGAGCCGAGAGGGGCATCGACGGAAACCTGATATCCGTCCGGATGACAGGTCAGCAGAAGGTCCAACAGCGAATTTGTATGATCCTCTACATCTGGAATCCGCGTAGGCGAAGTAACCAGTTGTGTCAGACCATATGCCAAGGCAAAGTCATAAACAGATCTCCCCGCATTTTGCCCCCCCCCCCCCCCCCATAATACGCGAGATAGCCTGAGTACCTACGCTCAGGAAGAAAAGGTAGCTTGACCGTGGATGCTCCGTGAGGGATTCTCCATTACCAATGGTGCTGGTACCATACTGGGGTAGTCCTTTCTTTTTAAATTCCGCCACTATGTTCGGCCTCCGGCCACCTGCACTAACCAAGCGAAACGCAGAACCAAAGCCTCTACTTTACGTTGGTATTCTGTGAGGTCGTGGTACTGCCCCGGTTTGGAGCCGGCCCATCCATACTACAGCAGAAACTGCAGCATGGCTCTACCACGGTTAAAAGTGTCAGGGCAAAACATAGCAGCCTTAAGCTGCTATTTTACGCTGGTATTCTGTCAGAGTGTGCCCTTATCCCGGTTGAACCGACCCATTCGTGCTACAACTATAGATTGGAAGCTGCTCCATATCTGCTGTTTCAGTTTCCCTCTGTTGCTTCTTACAATATCCAAGTGATTTTATGGACTAGTGGATTCTCTTCCTATATTCAAGAAATGTTTCAAGTCATATTAAATTAGTGATCAAGTAGTTTTCTATAGAAACTGTTTTACATGTTAATATTGTTCTAAAATATCGAAATTGGGAACAAGCCAAGTATATGAATAACAATTCATTTCTAATTTAAAGAAGATGTTTTTAAACATTCAGCAATTATGTGTGTTTCAAACTAGTTATGATTAGCTATTAGTAAACAAACTAAGTATAGAATAATATAATATGCTAGTGAATATGCACTATGCATATAAATTTAATTATGTTTTGCCTACACTTTTTTTTACTTTTCTCTACTTTTTTTGAAAGCTGGTGCTTCTCATGTGGTCCCGTAGAAATTTTATCAAGATCTGACCCGTAGTTTTTGAGTTATCCTTAATAATGCGTATTTTATTGACTTCGACTACATTTTGATGATGTTCTCATTATATTTATCGGTTGTGCAACATTTTAATTTTACCATTTGTTCTGTTTTTCTTTTGTGATTCTCCTTAAACAATCTAAGTACCTTCTATGGGTAGGTTTCGAAGAGTATGTTCCTCTGTTAGTAATTACACTTGTAGAACTGTTTTATCATCTGCTCAGATTGTTTTCCTTCGTCTTCCTCATCATCAGCCCGTAAAACTTCCCGTTGTTGGGAGAATTTACCTTAACGTTAAGACGTGCAACACCTTGGACGTTGTTTACCATCGCTGAATTAGGTCTTTTACGTATCTCGCAAACGAGATGGTATACCGCCATCTATCACAAGCCATTTGATTTTCGGATTTCGGGAATCGGAGTGATTTTCTTACGCCATCACCACAAGGCACCTAGTCGGATTATTATCTTCATCATTATAACCCTTCACAAGTCCACTGCTGCACATAGGCCTCTCCCAAGGAACGCCACAAAGCACGGTTCTGTGGCACCTGCATCCATCGACTTCATGCATGTCTGCATGGTCTTAACAGGTCGTCTTCATCTAGTGGGGGGCCGCCCTACACTTCGCCTACGAGTCAAATTATAGCTTCCAATATATCTGGAAGTTGTCGCCGTGCTTGAAATTGGCTATTATTATTACGCTAATAATCTTCAAATTGAATAATTCTTTTATCAAATTAATTTTGTATGGATTTGATTTAGGAAAAGTAATAGGATAGCTTCAACAAGCCTCACATTGCCTACATAAAGCCACCACATTATGCTTCATATATAAATATACTTTGTAGCCTCAACATCTACACGATGACGTCTTGGGGGTAGTGAACCATTTGGAGCAGCTGACAAGCCTGCTGGTTCTGGAGGCGAAAGCGCGTCAGTTCAGTTCGAACTCTCATCCAGCCGCTTGCCTTGAATATCTACTTAGCGAAAATCTACTCGACAAACTCTACGAATGGGCCATCTGTACCGGCAAGTAAGTGTTATTATTTATTATCATAGAAATATCTCCAATAACATAAAAAGTCATTGCTAATAAAAAAAATCTACAATAGCAGAGTTATAATTAATATATATGTTGTGTAATAGTATAATATTGTCAGATTCAGTCAGACTTTCCTACCGAACTAGTACAGTACCTTTTGCTTAATAATTGTCTATTATGTAAATGTAACTAAGTAATAAAATAAATAATTTAAAAAAAATCAAAAACCCGACTGTAAAAAGACAATTTAAAAGTAATTCACTAAAATGACCGAAACAACATTGAGAATAGAAAACAAAATTAAAATTCAACTTCAGCTCATAATATAATCTGTTATACCGAAGTAGTATTTTGTTTACCTAATTGTTGTGAAGTTAGTAGAATTTTAATTTTGTTTTCTATTCTCAATCTTGTTTCCGTCTTTTTAGTGCATTACTTTTAAATTGCCGTTTTTGCAGTCGGTTTATTGATTTTTTAATTATTTATTTTATTTTAGACTTTTTAGTGTCCCACACAATCTTAGGAACTGAATTTCATATGTTAGCACAAGGTCCGACACAAACATGACCCATTTTTACGCTATCAAAAACTTTAAACCAATTTATTATTCCTAATTATATTCAAACTTATAACTTATAAGTAGATATTTCTGTAAGCCCCTTTTACTTTCCTTTATTTTGATACTCTACTCGATAGGTTTGGTTATTTTTTTTAGTAACAGCTATCTAAGAACACTTGGGTTTTTAAGACAAATGTAACGATACCTTAATGCGATACCCTGATCAAAACCTTGCGATAGTGCGTTTTTCTTCGTTATTCAGAGACTATTATCTCATTAATTATGGGAAATAAACTACATCTAAATGCACATTATTAATGTTCGATATCCTATCATCACATTCCACGTTTTTATTTGTTTTTATTTGTTATAAATATATTTAAAATCTACTTTTTTTTAAAGACCGGTCAAGTGCGAGTCGGACTCGCACAAAAATATTTTTATTATATGATGTAACTAAAAATTTAAGCGTTTCGCAAATTTTCCTTTATCTGGGCTATAAAACGTTACTTCGTACCAAATTCCTGAGAAAAAGGGTCTTGACAGACAGACAGACGGACAACAAAGTGATCCTATAAGGGTTCCGTTTTTTCCTTTTTTGGTACGGAACCCTAAAAATGACTAAAATTATTGATTACATGCATCTGTTGCTAAAGGCAACACTCTAATCATTTGAGGATTACACTAATGGATAGATAATTTAAAAATCTATATTATTCACGTTTTATTTAATTTTTAAAGTTCGGTTTTTATATGTATGGGAGCACTTTTAAGAAAGGCAAAACAAGATTTTATATTATTTTAACAACGAATCTATAAATAACATTTCTTAAACTAACGTTCTAGTGATGCACAACCTCTAAAAGAAGGTCGCGAGGAGCCAAATTTGTAGATTACCTATTTCTCAAGGCTCACAGTTTCATATTAATAAAACGAAGCATGCCGTTTTAATGCGACACCTATATTTCGAAACACTACACTAAAGTGAAATGTGATAAATATGAACCAAAGAAACTTAGTTATTAGTGTTCCGTGCCAAAATTTCAGTACGGTTCAGTTTGTCTTGTCCAGACTTTTTTCTCAGAGACCAGTTTAACCTAGATGATTGTAATTCGGTTTTATTACAAAATGCGGCTATTCCAATGCAAACATGAGGTTAAAATTTGTAATTTCCGATTTATAGGGTTATAACTGTCCCCACCACTACGAAGGTATTAACGACAGAAATTAAAAAAATTCACGGATATAGATAGAAGAATAGATATCTATGCAATTAGATTTGTCGTAAAAATTCTTAAAATTTTAACTTTAACCATTGAAAGTTAAGTTCGAAAAATTGTGAAAACTATCATGATTATTTACAAATGATAGGTGTAAAATGTGCTTACATTACCAGTTACTAGCGTGATATTATGTAGAAAGCTTTTTGGAAACCCTGAGTATGGCACGACATTTTATGTAAAAATTTATAAATCCAGTAAATGTACTATTTGAAACTATAATCGTTTAGTTCTTTTTTTTTGCCGACTTCCAAAAAGGAGACGGTACTCAATTCGACTGTATGTTTTTTTTATGTGTGTTACCTCATAACTTTGTACTGGGTGAACCGATTTAGATGATTCTTTTTTTATATGAAAGCTGATAGTTCTCGTGTGGTCCCATATGAATTTGATCAAGGTCAGACAGATGGTTATTGAGTTATTCTTAAATAACTTATTTTGAAGTCGTTTATATTGAAGTCGGCTGTACAAAATTTTTAATTTTAAATTATTGTTGAAGTGGTTATTATTCTTTGTTTCTTTTTTTTTTAAAAACTTTACCCACACTATGATTTTCTCCTGTATCGTGGAAGCAGTGTACAAACACAAATTGCACAAGGACAAACATCCAGACCCGAAACAATCATTTGTAGGCCATACAAATACTTGTTCCGTGCGGGATTCGAACCCGCAGCCCCCAACGCAGCAACTCATTGCTAAGCCACTGCGCCACGGTTGTAGGTAATCAAGCGAAACTGCTGCTACATATAATGAAGATCATTTCACTAATGGGCTGAGCTGGGTTTAATAACTTAATACATAAAAATATACATGACTGTCTCTTTGATCTAGTGGTCGTAAACGTGTATGCTGATCATGCATACGCGTTCAGGCAAAAAGTCAAGTATTGATTTTTTTTGTCAAGACATTCTCAGTAGCATCCCGGAGTCAGGGAGTTGGCGGTGTTTCACCCCGTGCCTCGGAAAGCGCGTAAAGCCGTTGGGCCTGTGTCTGGTATCTCTCAGGTCGTGTCGGATTACCTTCCCAACGAACTATGAGAATGAGAGAATAGATAGTGCACCTGTGCTTGTGTATACACTCAGGCACTATAAACCTGTCCTGCGCTGACACCTGTACCTTGCACATGGTAGGGCCATGCTGCAGCTATATCAATAGTATAGTTGTAGCACGAATGGGTCGGCTCGTCCTGGGAAGTACCACGCTCTCACAGAATACCAGCGTTAAATAGCTGTTTAATGCTGCTGTGTTTCGTATGGTGAGTGTAGAGAACCGGAGACCCTTTTTACTGGAAAAGAGGCATTCCATCTTAGTCCTCACGGGTGACGACGTATTTGCATTTTGATTCTTAATTGAGGATAAATGTAGATGTCTATGGATCACAGCAACCACTTACCATCAGGTGGACTGTGTGCTCGTTTGTCACCCTATCCTATAAAAAAAGATAGTTTTTTTTTTAGGATCGGGTGACAAACGAGCACACAGTCCACCTGATGGTAAGTGGTTGCTGCGGCCCATAGACATCTACATCTATCCTCTGTTACAAATCAAAATGTATATGCGTTGTCACCCGTGAGGACTATGATGGAATGCCTCATTTCCAGTAAAAAGGGTCTCCGGTTCTCTACACTCACCATACGAAACACCGCAGCGTTAAGCTGCTATTTTACGCTGGTTTTCTGTGAGAGCGTGGTCCTTCCCCGGTCGAGCCGACCCATTCGCGCTACAACCATAATATAGCTGCAGCATGGCTCTACCACGTAAAAATCTACACCTATGCTTGTGCATACACTCGGGCACTATAATCCTGTCCTGCGCAGATGGATAATCCCCATTGAGACTGGACGCCGTTACCGAAAATCAGTCTTAAGGACATTACATAATCGTATTTTTAAAACGAAACGTTTTAACTGAGGTCTTATTTTATCCTTTGGTCGGTCAACAATATTTTATGATTTTGTTCTCAAAATTAGTTCACGAAACCAGGGAGTTGTGACGTGAATTGCAAAAGGCAACTCAGATATCATATTCCATGTAGAGTATGTTTTGTCAATTACGTTACAAAGTATCGTGTGTATGCATTACAATGTTTTTACTATTAAATAAAGTAGGTCTTCGTACGCTTGTTTCCGTTTCCTGTGTGAATCATTCGCGCGATGATAAAATGTATGTTTTTGTTCTTATTTTTTTTTGAACTTTAATTATTTCTTTCTTCTTTGATATGTATGTGAAGTATTTTAACATGTAAGGATACCCGTATACTAACGGATGTAGACAAAAGTTTGGTAGTGTAATACGTCCTCTGGCAATTTTTTTTCTCGTGATTTTTTGTCCACCGTGGCGTTTTGGCGTTCTGTTATGTATTCTACAACCGTAGAATCTACTACCGTTTTTGAAGAAAAGTTTATTGCCGATTCATCACTAAGTGGTGACGTTCAGACTGCAGTTCGGTTAGGAGCTAGGATCTTATAGGGGAGGTGTTTGTGTTGCTGTGAACTCTTGTTGTCCTGTAACGATGTTGATACTGTATTAACCATCACTGTGTATTAAAATGTTACAAGAAAACATATAGAAAAAGAAATAAATAAATGGTAGTTTTAAGCACTGGCTTCTAATAATATAAAAGATATATTTTGCAATAACGTTGTTATTTTATTATTGTTAAGGAAAGTGCGTGATTTATATTAATTGGCTCCCGTTTGATAAGGTAAATGAGATCAAAACAAATAAACGTTATCATCGAATTTGCGGACGCCCACGCGTCACCCTTATTGCAATCTAATGATTTATTATTAGGACAAGGAAGGTAATAAAAATAGTTCTGCTATGAAATTTGGAAAAATAGCCTCTTTCTTAATAATTGATTGTTTATCGATTTGTAGTTTAATAGCCAACGACGTAACAAAAACAGACATTTAATTCTGTAAGTGCTCTATTTTTAGTTCTATAAGGGGAAGTGACTTATTTTATTTTCATGGTATATTCTATTTTAGAACAAGACAATATTCTCAGCTCTTCTGAAATTAATAATATGAATAAACACAAACATAAATCAATATCAGACGATTATCAGAATGGGTGTCAATAAATTGTATATGATGATGCCCTACTTATTTACGATGTGTATTAAAACAAGATATTTAGATAAACAGTTAAGAAATAGAATAGTTGCCACTTGTGTCAATTTTTATACTTTCAAACGCGAATACTAGTAAATGACGTCATTGTTTCTTGTAAAATTACAGCCTATATATATCGCTCTGCTGGGTAAGGCCTCCTGTCGCTTCTCAGAGGGTTTGTATGATATTTGGTTGGTCTGGATAGTTTCTTTTACTTTACTTAGTCAATTAAATATCTTAACCGTGTTGGTGGTTTAATAAATCTAATCTAACCTTGAAAAAAGGGATCAAGTTTTGAGACCTTAGTAAACTGTTTGCACCGTTACAGAATAGAATAGAATATTTTTTTATTCAATATAGATCACATGTGTAATTCTTATTGAAAGTCATTTTTTACTTTACCACTAGTTCAAAAAAACCTCTGTCCTGGGAAGAACCAGCAAAAATCCCAGCAGAACTTTTTTTTAAAAGCATATTTTACCTTAATGGTACAAAATTTATTTTAGAAACAGCTTGGAAGCGACAACTTCTTTCCCAGGGGTTATTACTCGTATCAACCATGTATTCATTTATACTATAATAACCCTTTTTATACAGTTTCAACTTAACAAAACATTTAAACTTGGTAATAGAGAGAGCCTGTACACTTTCCGGGACCTTGTGTAATTCATTCTTGGGGCAATGTATACGCTATTACATAGCGTATACATTGCCCCAAGAATGAATTACTGACTCTGTGGAGTCGAGAAACTGGTATCACTAGCTTGTGTTTGTTCCTAGTGTTTACAGAATGTATATCACTTTTTTTACTAAAACTACCTTTGTTTTTGTGAACATACATAAAATCTTCGTAAATAGACTGAGAGCCCAAAGTTTATATATTTATTTCTTTAAATTTATCTGTAAGAGTCTCTCGGTTTTAGGTTGTAAATAGCTCTAATGGCCCTCTTCATCTTTTTTTATTATTCCTATCAAGAGTCCACAGCTGCCAAAGGTTTCTACACTCACCATACGAAACACAGCAGTGTTAAGCTGCTATTTTACGCTGGTATTCTGTGAGAACGTGGTACTTCCCCGGTCGAGCCGACCCATTCGTGCTACAACTAAACTATTAATATAGCTGCAGCGTGGCTCTACCACGTATAAACTCTGGGTGACAGGCGCGAATGTTTATGTTATATTATAGTAGTCCATTACAAGTCCACTGCTGAACAAAGGCCTCCAAGAAATGCCAAAAAGATCTCAATAAAAATGATTGTGTAAGAATTTGCGCAGGACACTGGTTTTAATAGCTATTACGAGTATGACGAAATGAAAACTACGTGAATAGCAAACATAACGTGATCTTTAATTTTTTATCGATAATTTGAAAACCCATTTTACAACTTTTAATTACAGTGTATCCTTGACGATGTGTTGTTCATTTTATTATTTTACGATATAAAACCGAAATGTTATGTGTTTTAAAAATTATAAATTAATACATTTTTATATAGAATAAGGGTGACAAACGAGCACGCAGTCCACTTGATTGTAAGATACTGTGACATTATGTCGCTACTAAAGTTACACAATTGCACTGTTGGTGGTCCCGTGCATTTATTCAACTATGTTTAATTTAGTATTTAATGCAGTCTAGACAAACAATATAGTTCTATTTATGTTTACGTTTTATTACAGATATGAAAATGCAGTGCGTCTGGAACAACTGAAACTGTTTGGAAATCTTATCAGTCACTATGGTCCTCAGGTAAATATATCATCAGTGCTAAGCTAAAAATAATCTTTCTATAAATATGTAGTTCCTACTATATTAATATAACACACATAAGATATGTAATAAAACATACATAATATACATAGGATATAAAATGTAGGAAGTAGTGCTCCTCTCTCAACTAAGACAAAGCACTACTACTGAGGTACTGAGTCAAGTTCTGGATAGTACAAAGATAGTACTCAGTGTCAACTAGCGACATCTGGTGAGCAAAAAAATATTAGCCCTCATTAAGCACTAATATAGCTTTCTTGGTGTAGTGGTTGTAAGCGCGACTTAAGATCCAAGTCCCAGATTCAAATCGGTCGTACCAAAATCAATTATAGGGTTTTCTGTTAAGAAATTAGTATACGCTCGGAGTCAGAAGGTTGACGGTATTCCACCCCAGTGCGGGAAGCACGAAAAGAGTACTATAAGCGATAGAAAGTAGAGAGTGCACTTATGTTTGTGCACTATAAACCTGTTCTCCGCAGATAGCTAGTCTCCGCTGAGGCTCAACGTCGTAACCGCAATTAAGTCTGGAGGACATTACTAAGTCGGTGCAGTTTACGGTTTTTAGAGCTAGTATTACAGTATAACGACAGTGGAGGCATTCCATCTTAATCCTCAGGGGTGACAATAGCAGTTGTAACCTCCTTTGGTAGAATTTCGTAGCAGTGGACTACAATAACCGTATACCATTAAATTTTTTTTATAGGATAAGGGTGACAAACGAGCACACAGTCCACCTGATGGTAAGTGGTTGCTGCGGCCCATAGACATCTACATCTATCCTCTGTTACAAATCAAAATGTAGATGCGTTGTCACCCGTGAGGACTAAGATGGAATGCCTCATTTCCAGTAAAAAAGGCCTCCGGCCACCTGCACTCACCAAGCGAAACGCAGAGGTAAACCTCTACTTCACGCTGGTTTTCTGTGAGGTTGTGGTACTACCCCGGTTCGAGCCGGCCCATCCGTGCGACAGCAAAAGCTGCCGCGTGACTCTACCACTGTTAAAACCATGTTACCATTAAATGGATTGTTAATTTATGTGTTACGCCAATTAAAATAATTAAAAATTAAAAATTTTGTACAACCGACTTCAATATAGGATATTAAGAATAATTCAAAAACTATTTATTGGTCAGACCTTGATCAAATTTATGTGGGACCATATGAGAAGCACCAGCTTTCAAATAAATAAATAATCATCGTAATCGGTTCACCCAGAAAAAAGTTGTGAGGTAACACTCATAAAATAAACCTAGCAAGCTAACAGCATAGCAAAGTGGCGAAGCAATCAGCTTTGTAGCGGTTTCTAACGGTTGCCGTTGAGCAATCAGTTTCAAAATAAGAGGTTCAGATGTCTGGGTGATCAGTAATCGATTGCTGAAAACAGAATTTGAAAATTCGAAACCGTTCTCGAGATAATCGTGGGACAGACGGACAGACATCGTGAAGTCAATAAGTGACTTCGCAAGCTTCGCCACTTAATAACTCCTTTTTGAAGTCGGTAGAAAAATATCATCAAAACAGTTCACAACGAGATAAAATCTGATTTCGGATTGACGATTACAGTAACATTCGACTCGTGCCTAGATAATTTACTCCCCAATCTCTCGTCATCCCCACCAAAAAGCGCACAATATTTTTGATTTGCATTCTTCGACATTCCATGGTATAATTTTTTTTCACACTTAGTTTATTTACTAACCTACACATAACCAATTTTTTTTACAGGTGATAGCAGCGGAGCCCTTCCTCCGACCGTTGCTCAAACTTCTCAGTGGTTTTAGAAACGATTTACTTCCCAAAAACTTAGAAAGTAAGTGAAGTACATAAGCCAACTTACATTTTTTCTGCTAGAAGCATAATAGGAGCTTGTTCACACTAGAAGATAATTCACAGATTGGTTTTTTTAATGTTTGTAATTGGTTGTAGTACAGCAAAATTTTACAAAAAAATACTTAAGTTTATATCTTTGAAATAATTATTTTTTATTTACAAAATGATATGAAACTGCAAATGAAGTTGATGTTACAATGTTTGAATTGGACTTGGATTGTAATGTTATTGTTCTATGAACAATGTACGCAACACTCGCAGTATAAGAACTATATTTACACTGAGATTTTTCCGGACCGATACGACTTAGGGACCTTCAAGAAACAAGCTTACTCCTTTTTAATAGGTCGGCAACGCACCTGCAAACAAAAAACCCCTGGTGTTGCAGTTGTTCACGGGCGGCAGTGGGCACTACTAATGGCATGTACTCATTCGTCTCCTCTTCTATAAAAAAAAAAACTGAAAACTTCACTCTAAACGTCGTCAATTTTCAACCATCGCGTCGTGACACTTTATGGTTTTAAGATCATTATTTTTTTTTTTGACGAAAATACAAGTTACAATCGTTTGTCCTGTTTTAAACCAAAAAAAAAAAGACAATATAAAATTAACAACAATTTATTTAGGGCGATAAAACCCATTAGTTTTTTTATGTGTAGTATTCGTGTAAATATCAAAAAATCATTATATAAATATATACCTAATAATTAAATGACTTATTTTAGCTTGACTTTTTGCACTTCTAAACAATCCACGCAAAGTTAAGCGAAATGACAGTTTGAATGTTCTATTCCGTTTCGTGCGCGGAGGTTATATAATATATAAAGCAAATTATTCCTGTTTCATTCAAATTCTGTACGCATTACAAAAGACGAAGCATTCCATTTAGTTGTAATGTATGAAATGTCGACAGCAAGTGTGTTGAGTCCCGCCAATCGTCTATTTATATTTATTTATTTTATAGAATAAGGGTGATAAACGAGCACGCAGTCTACCTAATGGTAAGTGGATGCTGTGGCCCATAGACACCTACATTAAATATCCTCGATTAAGAATTAAAATGCAGATGCTTTGTCACCCCAGAGGACTAAGATGGAATGCCTCGTTTCCAATAAAAAGGGTCTCCGGTTCTCTACACTCAACATACGAAACACAGCAGTATTAAGTTGATATTTTACGCATGTATTCTGTGAGAGAGTGGTCTTACCCCAGTCGAGCCGACCCATTCGTGCTACAACCATAATATAGCTGCAGCGTGGCTCTACCACATGGTTGTCTGATGATGAAAAGGTGAAATTAAATCAAGTAAGTAGATGTGAAATTGCATTATTTGAGTGTGTTATGGAAGTGTTAGAAAGCTAGTAATAACAATAAATTACTAAGAGGCATCTTGGAAAATGAATAAATTCTTGTTATACAGTGTAACCTTGATATAACGAGTCTCAATATAACGAATTCGATTTAACGAATTTTTCGAAATCCCCTAGAACTACCCGTAAGAGCAAATGCAAAATATATATCTACATTACGAATACATTTATGAAAAACCTCTTTATAACAAATTTTTAATCATTGCAGAATATAGAGAGATGGTATTGTTTACCTTCAGTTAACGATTTTTTTTAACTTAGAACCTTGACATAACGTATTGGATACGTTATGTCAAAATTCCACAATAAGTCATGTCTTGACAGGTTCAGACACGTTAGAGTATTTACGTAATTTTGAGGTTAATAAACAAGTTTTCTTACCTTGTTGAAACGAATCGTAGTCGTACCTAAGCTCTATATTACAAACCTCATTATAACGAAATACTTGGTATAACGAATATTTTCTAATTCCTTTCAGTTCCGTTATATCGAGGTTGCACTGTATTAGTAAGTTCCATAACTTAGCTTCGATTGGTACCACCGGTAAACATGGAAGTTTTACTGTAATCTTGCGTGGCAGGTAGGTTGACGATTCCAGAGCCAGACGTCTCGCACCTTTGAAACTGGCGCGCTTTCAGTCTATTCTTTATTTACCTATACAAGATGGTTATTCCAATCATCCTTTCGAAGATCATCAAATCTTCTAAATTGGTCCTCCTTACCAAACCTTTGAGATTAAATAGATTAATTAATTCTACTATATATACAACACAGCGATTTAGCTTGCTGTGTTAACTAAAGGGTAACGATTAAAAAACACCTCCAAAACTATTGTAAACCTAATTTGCTCTAATGTGAACAAGGTCCCAATTAGTATTCGTAGATGGTGCTACAAATTTCAAGGTGCGTATGTTTCAGGTCAGTTGGTCGCTGTGCTCAATCAACTGTGCGTAGTCCTAATGCAAAATATGAAATTCATTGACCTCTTCTTTCTTATGACGCACACGCAAAACGGATCGCAGGCTGAGTAAGTATACTAATTTTATTTTTGTAAATGCAACTATCAAATGGACGTTGTTATGGAAAAGTGATCTAACCCACAAAAGGAGGTTACTTTTGAATAGGGATGCATCCGGTACCGATACCGATGCCGATAATAAAGGCAAGACTCCGAAGTACTCTAATATTGCCGATATATTGGCGTCGGCGATATTTTTATAGCCGATTCAACGATACTTTTCAAATTTCGCGCTATAAAAATGCAATGTAAACAAACGCACGTGTTGTATAGTCTTCGTTGCAAACGAAGCACGAACTAACTATGCTCGGGGAAAACCCGCGCTTTATTCCGTGTCTTGTTTAGCCACAATGCTTGACCCTCGTTACAAAGCACGAATATTTCAATGACAGTCTACTATTACTGTGGCAAAAAAGCGTCTTTTTCAGTTAATGTAGCACTACATTCCGAAACCATTTCAGACACGGTCATACATATATCTAGTACGGTAAGTTCTGAGATGCTTACGAGTGGCGGGCTTTGGAGCATTTGTGAAACTATTATCCGAGTCCGAGGAAGATGAGCCCCTGTCTACTCTGAGCTGTAATTCTCTCAAAGAAAAAGTCGAGGGATATGTAAGGTCTCCTAATATATCGAGATGACGTCTTATACCCACACTTGAAAAAGAAGCTGAAGTACTTTAGTTTCCAAATGAGTTCTGTCGCATCTGAGAGACTATTTTCCACCGCAGGTATTATTCAAAAAGATTTGCGAAATCTCCTTTATCCGCAAAACTTAAAAACACTTTGTTTTTTAAACAAAAATCTCATCAATGTTAATTTTAATTACTAAAACTATCAAGTAATCTCAACCTGTCTATAGTTTTAAACGGTTTTATTTAGTTTGTCCTGTTATTTGTTTTTTTTATATTAATTAAAAAAATAACCTGACCTGTCTTTTATTCATTATATCTTAATTTTTGAATTGAATAAGCGCATCGGTATCGCCGATATTTTTATAAGAGCATCGGTATCGGTATCGTATCGGCAAAAAGGCGTATCGTGGCATTCATACTTTTGAAATATTGACATTTGAAGTCTTTAAGAAGTTTCTTATTGGTGAGACTTTTTTTGAATAAAAAATCTTGTATTAGTTTTAGTGATAATGACTTCCTTTCTCGCTATTGGCTCACATTATGTTAGTGTTTCTTTTATTCTGTAAAATAATAGATCCTAAGGGTTATTTTTGAATACATAACTCATTTTTTGACACGACTATGGGGTGGATCTTTTCTGCGTAACGACGTCCAAATAGCGAAATGGTAATTAACAACTACTATATATTTCGTGATATAAATTAGGTTACTGGCCATGAATATTGGTATATATTATCTGATTATAGTAATTAGAACTCACAATACTGATTGGCCTTGAATAGCAAAAAAATAATGTATCACTACTTTTCAATTTCATTTTCCTACCTAAATCTTCTGTGGGCGCTGAATGTTTACAATTTGTAGAAAAGCAATATATCTTTCTTTATTCCCTTCTGATGATATTTTGGCTCATACTGAGTTCTGTGTATGCCAAATTACACAAATTGTGTTACATCAGTCACCATATAAGCCATGCCTAAAACTGCCCTACTCGCGCAATTAATCGTGACACTCCGCATTAGGTCGCTCGCGTTTGTTGCAACACAATGGTTAATGCAACTGTGGCAGCATGCGCGCTATATGCTTATTTAGTATAGCTAATTATATCAATGTCATAAAAAAGAAATATACGTCGTCATTCTCGCCAACGGAGATGGTGGATGACATCTATACATCGCAATAGAACGACGCTTCCGTAACAAGCGCTCGATTCGGACTGCGTTTACGCGAGTATGTGGCCAGACACTCGCGCTCATATTGCCAGTCCTTTGACTCGCGCCCCAAAACCGACAAAACGGAGTGATGGCCATGACGAGGCATGACGTGCGGCATGACGAGTATTGTGGCCACACTACGTCTCTGTAAGTGCGACAGAAAGCGCAACAGGCGGGGTCATGTTTCCCCATTTTATTGCACCGCGGGCGTCGAATCTTTAGCATTAGTTATGGTAAGTAGCACAACGAGTGAAACGTCAGGTCATGTTAAATCACAACGCGAACAGGCACCGCACGGTAGATTCGATTTTAATGTTGAGATGAGTGACAAGCTACTTACTAGATCACTTGTCTAATCACATGTGATGCTACTTGGCTTAGATCAAAAATACTAAGCAGCGGAAGCAGCGCCAAAGGTATAAAATACCGCGAAAACGGCCGCCCACGCGTGATGATCATATCAATTATTTCTTGCAATAGAAGAGACTGTTTACAAGCTGATGAAATTATAGGATATATTAGTAATATCCTATTCCATCCATCCATTACAGCCTATAAAAGTATAACTGAACATATACCTCCCCCATAGTGTGTCAAATTCAAAATCCCCCAAGATTTTGCCATAGTTGATGGCAGCTTGTCATATGGGTTGGCAAGCGGTGGTAGCTATTGTTACACTGCAGGTTCATAATCGGGCGGCTTCTCCTGACGTCGGTTCATCGTGAAGGTGCCACGGGTTCGGCGGCTCGCGACGCGCTGCTGCTGTGCGCCAAGATGTCCGCCCGCTGCGAACCGCTCGCGAAATGCATGTTAGCCGGCAACACTTGTCCCGTGCTCGCTACAGGTAATAATACATTAGATAAAATTATTTTTACAAAAAGTTTTCTTCCTCGCACAACTTCCTTATGGAATCTACTACCACCAGCGATTTTTCCCTATCGATACGACTTAAGGACCTTCAAGAAGAAAGCCTACTTTTATTTTAAATCTCTACTACTCTCGCTTACTCTTTTTACTCCACTAGAAGATAACCGCAGTATACTATATACTATATAATTATTGTGCGTGTACGCTTGTCCGAGTACGCTTGTGCATGCGTATACGTTTTTTCAAAGAATAAGGGTGCAAACTAACACACAGATCTTTTTGGTTTCGGGGGTTGTTAAAATTTTCAATTTAATATTATTGTCCCATTCTTTTACGATCTTTTAATAAATGATACCTCTGATATCACCTTAAAAATGTTTATTCATGTGACGATTCCGTTTTCTAGGTCTAAGCGGGCTATACTCCTTGCTTCCGCGAACACTTGACAACAAAATCGACCGTCTCACCCCCGACGACCTCAAGCAGATGCACAAACTAACACTCTTCATTGATTCCCTTGAGTTTTGCAACGCCGTGGCAGAGGTAACAAGTTAAAAAGTTTTTTTTTTAATATTATATTAGTCAAAATTTATCGTTTAGTTGACGCATTTAGAGAAATTTATGAATGCCAGTCTACAGGCAACAAAGTTATAAAGTTTTTTTTTTTTATATTTTTTTATTCAAAATGTATCGTTTAGTTAAGGCAATTTATAAATGCCAAAGTATACTACAATGCGTTCTTTTTTTGAAATTTGATTTTTGAGTATTTGATATAATTTTTGTATTTGATTCAATATTTTTTTTAAACATAATTTGACAACGACAATTTCGTCATAGCAAGAGGAATTCAAAATATTTTATCATTTTAATAAATGTTTGAAATCCCACCTGCTCTCTAGAACTAACTTCAAGCAAAACAAAACTACAAAAAAAAGAGAATTTTTCAGGATTATAGTCATAGTAGAAATTAACCAGAACAAAAAAAAAATATATCAACCTATAAATAAAACTTGTGCATAAATGATAACAGCGTCGTTTTTTGAAGGCTATGGAATCTTCCTAACGTATCCCATCAAGGTCGCTCAGCGAGCTATGGAGAAGGCTATGTTCGGGGTTTTTCTGCGTGATAAACTTAGAAATGAGGATATCCGCAGTATAACCAGAGTGACCGACATATACCAACGGATTAGTAAGCTAAAGTGTTAATGGGCAGGCCACATAGCTCGGAGAACCTACAACCGATGGCGAAGAAAGGTTCTCGAGTGGCAGCCTCGTACCGGGAAACGAAGTGTAGGGCGACCCCCAACTAGATGAAGTGACGACCTGTTAAGACATGCAGGAAGTTGGTGGATGCGGGTGGCTCAGGACCGTGCTTTGTGGCATTCCTTGGGGGAAGCCTATGTACAGCAATGGACTTGTGAAAGGCTGTAATGATGATGATTTCCCCTAGTCGATTGTTATGAAACCTAACAGTATTGCGTGATAAGTGTTTTTTTTACAACGCTCATCCTATTTCTCTATTATTCAGGTAGCCCATCCGTCTATCAAAAAAGAACTCCTCGATCTCCTCCACCAGGGATTCCTGGTGCCCGTATTGGGACCGGCATTATTACAGGTAACTCCATCACAGAGTGTGGGGTAATGGGCTGAGTGATTTTACCTTCGTTATTGTTTATTATGACGCTCTTCAAATACTACAGACATGTTTTCATGGCTTATCGCAAAATGCTTTGAAATGTAAAATGGAAAATATTAACATATACCTACTTATAACTTTATAAAACTTAAAAAAAATTGTAGTAATAAGTTCACAAATTTTAATCTAACTTCAATCCTTTTAACATTTTACTGTCGTCTTATCTAAGGTCTTTTAATTGAAATATGATAAAATGAATTTATGTCTGTATGTATGTGGTGTGCTGCCATATTCATTAACCATTGCTGTGACAATCTCTCATGATATTTCTGAATTTACAGGTCATGTGGGAGTCATCGCTTATTAATTTGAATGAATAAATGAAATAAATTGTGCGAATTTTGCACTTAAATGTTTGTGTGTGTGTGTGTGCTTGTGTACGTATTATTTCGCACACTGTTAAATTTAAAATCATCATTACAGTTTACAATAATTATTTTTATATCATATTATATAAAATGCTTATGTTTTCTAATAATATTACATTATATTAAATATTTATAAATTAATAATTACATATTACGTATTTTATTCAAATAATATACTTATAGAAAAAGTTTATGTATCAGCTCAAATTCTGAATATTATACATTATATCTTATGAGGCCATTGAACTGGGGTTTGTCGATTATAACAGTCCAATATTGAACGATTCATTTACCTGAACCATCAACATAAACAGAAATCGAGTATCATGTACATTTAAAACATGCTTTTAATGATCATGAAGCACGAGCATGAATCTCTGTTCTAATCCGATACTCTCATAGAGATCGTCTAATTTAAAAATGCGCGCGTCTTTCTTGTGCTTTGATAGATTTCGTCACATTTACCGTATGAAAAAGTATCCTGAAATATGAATCTGCACTGTCTTTTATTGTGTTTTAGTAGATTTTAGCATTTTTACTGTGTTTGACATGATAAAAGTGGTGAAAACTTAAAAAAGTACAATGGAGGCGCGCGCGTGCAGTTTTAAATTAGACCTAACATACTGGTATTTATGTATATATAATTTAATGATATATATCTATATACATCTTATATTTGTGTTTTTTCCTTTTTATAATTGTTTATATACTTTTAATAATAAAGCAATTTCAATAAAAATTCTTTTGTACTTTTATATAAACCAAAAACAGGAGTGGATATTTTCAGAGATTTAAAAAACAAAAGTACAAAGGGATTTTATTGATTGGAGGAATGTGGAGTGTACGAGAGTTAGTTTAGGTTACGGTTGGGTTTTAGCTACAAGCACGGGAATGACGGGAAACGCACGGGAAAGCACATTGGTATGGTACATTTAACTTTTGTTTTACGTTGAAGTGACAGTTTTTGAATTTTTAAATGTTGTTATTAATTATATAATATCACTAAAAAAAGTATTATATATGATTGAGTTTCATGTTAAATTAGTTGAATTAAATTTCCGAATACATTTATTTCTAAAATAAGTATAATTTTTTGGCTAGGGAATGATGAATTATTAAGCTTAAATAAAATTTTATTTACATTACGTTAATATCTAAATTTACTTTGTTTTTTTTTTATTATTATTGTTACATTAAATTCTGTAGCAAAAGTTAATTTCGTATTGAACATTCTAATTTACGCCAACGTAATAGTCAATTTCGCTAAAATTACGTTGTATAACAATAGTTTATTTTACATTAAACATTTTTGCCAAAAAGCGCGATGAAACAAAACTGTACCTTAATCCAACGGCGCAAAGTTCATTTCGAGATGTCAGTTCACGTTGCCTTTGCTACCTCGGCCGCCACGTACGTACTAACGCGAGCGCGACCGTAGACTCGAGCGGGGTTGCAGAGTGGCGGGCGCGAGCGGCTGGCGGGCGGCGCGTACGCCGAGCTGGCGCTGCGCAGCGCGACGCCGCGCGGCCTGCTGCGCGCCGCGCTGCACTTCCTCTTCACGCACGAGTACGACGCCGTGCGCCTCGTCGACGCGCTGCTCGCCAGGCTCGACGCTACCTCGCAGGTAATTTTTTTTTAATATACTTAGGCGAGAATCTCTGACGTTAACTCGTAGGTACTTTAAAATACCTATACTCCTTAAGGTGAGGAGTTCCGACGTTAAATCACTTTGCGCTCTTTCTCCTCTGTATGCATATTTGTCTGATATTCAGTGGAAAATTTTATTTATTTATTTGAAGCCATTAAAGGCCCGATTGGACGAAATATCGTATTTTAGACACTATTTTGAAATTTGAGAATTTGCGAAGGTTGTTCGTTGCATGTTCACGTCACCTCGGTTGGTCACCAATTTGGCCGTGGAAAGAAAAGGGGATATCTCCCGCCGTGGAAAATGTTCTGCCTGGGAAGCGGCCAACGCTCCGTGTATTATTTCGGTGTGTTTCACTTCTAGCGCGACTGTTAAATTCATTTAAAATAATATATAATTTAATCGCCGAGAAAAAACTGACGTTAAATTTTTTTTATAGGATAAAGTGGCAAACCGGTGGTGCTTTAACTCATAAACATCTACATCTATTCTCAATAAAAAATCAAAATGCCGATGCGTTGTGTCAACCATGAGGACTAAGATCCAGTAAAAAGGATCTAAGTCCCCTTTTTAACCAATAACTTTAATAGATATATAACCCATATGATATTATAAAAGACGTAATTTTTTCTTAATTTATTACAATTAGATTTTGAATATACTACATTTTAATTTAGAATTGCTTTATTTACTGATAATGTAATAATAATAAAGTAACTTTTTGTCCGCCAAATGTCACATGTTTACTTCGTACTAGACAAATATGCATGCAGCGAAGAAGGGATCGCTAAAAGCCTTTTAACATCGGAAAATCCTCGCCCTAAGAATCGATTTTCTTATAAAACCCGCGGTACACAAATTAAATGTAGAGCGAAATAGGGTCTTAACAAAAAATGAAATCGTTATATTTTTCATCCATTACACACATTCGCGTGTCTTATAATGAACGCGTGTAAAGTAATAGCGCCATCTCCTTCATTCTGTTGTACTACTCAAGACCAGGTACAAAATTAAACTTTTTATTCCAACTATTACACTTTATTTCACTTCATAATTTAAACTTGTACACAATTTAATTTAACTTCACGTCTTACTGCGACGACGAGCGTTGAGCGTATGCCACTTCCAATTTACTAATCAACCTTTTGCACTTGTCACCAAGGTGGGGCGGCGTCATTTCCTCCCCACTCTTTTACAGCAAACACTACATTAACCTTTCGGCTAAATTATATAACTCTATCCATTATCCGTAATCATTAATGTAAGCAATTAATAGTAATTGTAGTATAAAGTCAAATTACTTATCGAGTAATTCTGTAAACAATAATATAGTAGTTATTAAAGTAACAATTCTATAGATCATTTTATCTAACAAATTAGTTGACTTGACTCACAAGATGACAGTGTTACGTAAAATAGACGCTAGATAGCCTAAAAGCTACTAATTTGATATGAACTTTCTTAAGGACTCCATTCGCGCGTTGGAGTTGACACGCATCATTTATTTTTTTTATATTAAAAATCTGAAGTGACAAACTAACTTACAATCCACCTGATGGTAAGCGGTAACTGTGGACCTGGACACCTACAGCCAACTTCAAACTAAGAACGCTACAGATGCGTTGTCGTCTCTGAGATAAAAGTAAAACGTTCAGCCTTTACACACAGGCGACCTCTCATTTCTAAAAGGGTTAAGGAAATGTCCGCTGCGCTGCCCCAAAACATGTAGGTGAACTTCACCTGTCTTCGAAATATTTTTTTTATGTCTCAAACACATAGGTTTCCTCACGATATTTTTTTTTCGCCGCTAAACACGTGGTAAATCAGCACTTAAAATTGCAAATCTCTAAGGACTAAGGTGACTGGAATGGATGCAGATGGCTCAGGACCGTACTTTGTGGCATTCCTTGAGGGGTACCTATGTACAGCAGTAAACTTGTGAAAGGCTGTAATAATGATGATGATGACTTAAAGACAGACAGAAAGACTAAGGTGGATGCTTCACAGTCATTGCAAGGACCGATATTACATATCATGTTTTTAATCTACAACAGTTTCAAAATGAGGTTCCTCTGTCCGTAAAAGAAACTGTTACGTAGGTCACTCAATAAGTTTTGAGATATACAAAAAGTATTCTAGATACTATTAATATTTATTTTTCGTCTTTTCAAAATATTCTCCATCATGCTCTATACAAAGTTCCATTCGCCTAAACCAACTCTGAAAACACTTGCCATTCTTGATCTGACAGGTCGGAAATCGCTTCTTCGTAGCCACGGCTTCTTCGGCGCTTAAAAAAAACTTGCCTTTTATTTGTCTTTCACTCTTGGGAACAAAAAGAAATCACAAGGAGCTAAGTCATGGCTGTAGGGTGGGTGACTTAGAGTTTCAACACCAGATTCCTCAATAAATGCTTTTGTTCTAAGGGAGGTATGTGAAGGGACGTTATCGTGATGCAGCTTGATTCCCCGAAGCCATACCATTCAAAGTTGACTGACGTACAATTTTCCAGCATTGACGTCGACAAATGCTCGCTCTGCGAAAAAAATCTAGCCACCATTTTTTTGCCGACGTTGCGAGGTCTTTGCAGTTTTGTCGGTAACAGTCCTTCTGAGTAGACCCATACCGATGGTTGCCTTTTATTTTCCGGATCATATTGATAGATCCATGTCATGTCACCAGTAACGATTTCTGAAACACGCCTAGATGCCCCGTTTTCAAAACGTAAACGCATTTCATGGCACCAATCCACACGAATCTGTTTTTCGCTTTCGGAGAACAAACGAAGAATCCATCGACAACAAGGCTTCCTCACTCCAAGGTGTTGATGTAGAATGGTATGAATGCTCCCCGAACTAATGCTTACAATCTTTTCGATGTCCGTATATGTTACTCGTGGGTCTTCTCGCACCTACATTTCAGTAGTCCATACATTTTCTGCCGTTATTGCTGTTTGCGGGGCCCCGGTTCCTTGGTCATTTTTAAGATTAATTTTACCCCTTTTGAATTCAGCAAATCACCTAAAAATTGTTGCGCGTGATGGAGCTGAGTCTTCTAATGCTGATTGTAACCGTTGTAAACTTAATTGATCGGTTAAACCAAATGTAAAATCGTAATATATCATAGCGCACAAATGTTCGCGGTTAAGATCCATCGTTTTAAATGAAAAGCGCGGGAAGCGTTGCAGGAAAATTAATAGAACTTTGTTTTTTTTTTTTAATATTGAGCAATTGGGATATGGAGTTCTATTTTTAAATAAATTTGCTTTTTAGATACATAACACGGATGCGTTCCATTTTTAAATTTCGAGCATCTCCAAACTTATTGAGTGACCTACGTACTATTTGAAAACTCGTTCTCTCATTTTTTTTACAGAACAATAATTTTCACAATTTTTTGCAGGTTTTGTTGCGTAATTTTATTAGCCTAATTCCTTTTCATTTTGATAAAAATACGGAATTTTATTAGCCTAATTCCTTTTCATTTTGATAAAAATATTATTTTTATCAAAATGAAAAGGAATTAGGCTAATAAAATTACGCAACAAAACCTGCAAAAAATTGTGAAAATAAAAGTTATTATTTTTCTACTTGTGAGGGTTGCAATCGAGACACACTTATCTGATGGTAATTGAATTTTGTGAGCTACCTATAGATACCTACACCTTTCATCGATTAAAAATCATAAAGCAGATGCGTTGTCACCCCCTGAGGACTTAGTTAAAATGTCTCATTATCAGTAAAAATGGTAGCTGCAGCACGAATGTATCAAACAACCGGGAAAGGGTCACGTTTGCACAGACTACCATCTTGATTTAGCAGCATAATACTGCTGTTTTGTATGATGTATTTTCCTTAAAGTAAGGTAGTTTGTAAAATAGGGGTGTATCATGACAGTGTCTTGACAATTAATATTTAGAAAGTAAAATTGCCATTAAACCTAAGCTTATCACGTGCGAATATTACTTATGTTTTCTATTCCAGCTGTCTCTCGTCACTTTATCACTCGTGGAGACACTCATCGACCTAAACTGTGAGGACGTGATGTTGGAACTAGTTTATAAGTATCTTCTTAATGGTCACCACCTGGTAACGACATATAAGCACAGAGTGGCAGATCCGGAACTGTACCGGGTTGCGGCAGTCGCCTTTTTAAGGCTAACTCCAAAATGCTGTACAAGACCCCTGGAGAAAACCAGAGCATGGGTAAACGAGATGGCGTTAAGTGGCAGGAGAGTGCTGGACTTTAGACGAGACGACGAGAGCGGGCGGATCAATGGAATGCACGGAGATATAGCCATGAACAAACTAGTCCATGAAGTTAATTTTGATTATGGGGTGAGACACATATAATTAAACGAATAAAATTTGTTTGTATGCTGTGCTTTGTTTCTTAAAAACTTTTTTATTAACTATTTTCCTAGTCGCCAGTAAAAAAAAAAACAAGCATATCCATTTAGATTAGAAAGAAGGTTATTCATTTCATTATATAAGCATGTTTTCATTATACATAAGCTTACAGTTTATAATGACGCAGTTTAACTAAAAACTGTATAATTATGATGTTGATTAAGTTGAACATATTTTATTCTAGAACCCAAGTGAAACTCTGTTTGGCAACTACCACGCGTATCTTTGCAACGCGCGCTTCGAAATTGTATCACGTTCGATCGCCTGTACCAACTGGAGCGCAAAATACGACACTGTTCTACCTCAAAAGCGTGAGACCAACAACAATTCAACGAAAGATCTGAAGGACATTGACAACCAAGCCTCTGGAAAAGAGCAGGACAGTCTTATTTCTGTTTGCACAAGTGGCTACGACACTTTGAAAACCAGTGGCACACCAGACAAAGAGCCACATAGCTTAACGTCTCTGCTAGAAGAGACAGAAAGTACTAAGAATGTTAACGAGCAACAAAATGTTAACGATCAACAAAATGTTAGCGATCAACAAAATTGTAACGATCAACAAAATTCTGAAGGAAAGGACCATGACAGTCTGAATTCAGTGGAAGAAAGTAGCGGGTACGATAGTTTTAAGTTTAGAATGGAAGAAAATGAAGAGGGAGAGTCTTACGCCGAAGAATCGTTCAGAAAAAGTTTTACAAAAGAGAAAAGTGGTAGTGAGGGACTTTACGAGGGAGAAACAGTGTCTATACGATGTTGGCGGGCCAGTGCTGAAAGTATTATTGGTAAGATATTGTTCTTGCTTGTTTTCATATATTCTTTTATATTGGATTTATGGATTGTATATTATGTCGGGGAAAAAGTTTCTTCGTATTTTATACAACGTGTTACAAAATACCGCGTAAAAATATAATTAATTATCAAAGCCAAAAATTTTGTCAACCCTAGTAAGCTGTCATGTCAGGGAACCAGATTATTTAACAGAAAGGTCTACGTACCTATTTTACCTAATAAGCGTCCACTTTAATAGTTTTTCTATTTTTCATTCATAAATGTTTGCTACCTCAATACAAGGATGTCATTATACGACTACATTCCACCGGCTCTTTTTATCGGTCTGTTGGAAATGGACGTCCAAGCGCAGTCGACGCCAGGCAGGCTGAATTAGTGTTAGATAATTTTGAAGAAGAGCCGACCACAAGTACGAGGCGAGCCGGAACAAGATTCGGTATAAACCATGGTGCAGTTTGACGAATTCTTCGTGACGGCAATCGTCACCCATATCACTATCGCCGTGCCCAGGAGCTGATACCCTCCGATTTTGCACCCAGGAGGAACTTCTGCGAGTGGTAACTCAGGCAGTTAAAAGAAACCCTAATTACGTAAACTATGTTCTTTGGACGGACGAGGCAACATTCACGAGGTCAGGACTTTCAAATATGCATAACGATCACGTTTGGGCTCGCGTGAATCCACATGCTTCACGGCAGGGCGGATTCCAACACCAGTGGCGGCTGAATGTATGGGCTAGCCTTTATGACGGGCATGTCATCGGTACCGTCATTATGCCATCTCGTCTGAACGGTAGCAACTATCTAACGTTTTTACAAACGAATTCGAAGAGGCAATGGACGACTTTCCTGTGGCTGACTGGGATTACTTTGAGAATCAAAGAAACATGGTGTTTCAGGATGATGGAGCTCCGGCGCATTTTGCTCGCAAGGTACGAGAACATCTTAACGTTCGCTTTCCGCGAGGATGGATCGGCCACGGGGGAACGGTGCTATGGCCCGCTCGTTCTCCGGACCTCACACCCTTGGACTTCTTTTTGTGGAGTTATGTGAAGGACAGAGTGTATTTCTCCCATTGCCCAACGGTTGCCGAGATGGAACAGCGTGTTAGATCGGTTTTCGCATCAATAACACCGAGGATGGTGCGAAATGCCACACAAGCCATATCCCGACGAGCGAGGTTGTGTATTGAGCAAGGCGGGGCAAACTTTGAGCCGTTTCTGTAAATTTGACGTTTATTATGTAAAAGTAAGTGTTCGTTTAGGTTGTTTCGTTAGGTTAGGTCTTTTAAAATTCTTGCCGTTCCGCAAATTAGGTAGAAATGTTCTGCGTAGTTCACTCTTTTATTTTACTGAAATAGGGTTTGCACGTCAGTGAAAATAATAATATTTTTTTTATATTTTTGGGGTATGTTATACAGCGTTACTACGGTTCTTAAATATTGTAAATGGACTCGTTATAAGGCCCCATTTAACCTCCTTTCGGCTCTACGGGTAGTTTTGTAACAAGCCGTATACAAATTCAAGACTTTTTTTTTTCAAAGTTTAATTACAATTAATTATAATATATATGTCCCATTTCGTTCGATAACTTGTTACCATCTTGTAGGTTGTAATTAGTGCATAGTCCCGTTGCTGTAGAAATCTTGGGATTTATGATTTAAAAAAATGCGACAGGTCGCTTTGACAGTCCTCTCTTGATGTTGACCTAACATTAGGCGAAGAATTCTGACTGAAACTTTTTATATAACACTTTTTATATTTCCTTTGACAAGATTAATTCTTTAAAATAAAATTTAACACTTATTATTCTTTACATAACTCTAAGTTTGAGCACTGGCCGAGCTGGCTTAAAGCAGTTTCTCTCTGTACGTGACGAACCGCCAGTGCTCACCCACACACGCTCCTGAAGCTTGTAGTAGTGGTAGAGCCATGCTCTACGTGGTAGAGCCATGCTGGAGCTATATTAGTAGTATAGTTGTAGCACGGATGGGTCAGCTCGACCGAGGAAGGACCACGCTCTCACAGAATACCAGCGTAAAATAGCAGCTTAATACTGCTGTGTCGTTTGTCGAGCGTAGAGAACCGGGGACCCTTTTTACTGGAAAAGAGGCATTCCATCTTAGTCCTCACGGGTGACAACGCGTCTGCATTTTGATTCGCAAACGAGGATAGATGTAGATGTCTATGGGCCACTGCAACCGCTTACCATCAGGTGGACTGTGGGCTCGTTTGTTACCCTATCCTATAAAAAAAAGTAGTGTAATTATCACAGCGCGGTTGTATGAACCTTTGCCTTTGTACGGTACGGTTTCTTTACTCATGTGGTTAGATTCACTTATTTTAACGGACAGCAAAACAATGAAAAAATGGCGGTAGTGTTCTTTACTTTTTATTTTCCTTTTTCTTAATTTCTTATATGTATTGATATTATAACCAGCCAGATACAAACAATACAATTAAACTTCAATTTTATACAAATAAAATACGAAGAAACTTTTCCCCCGACCTATTAATACATAATAATGTGCCAGCAATATAGCTCCTCTAAGATCCGACAACCGACGAAGAAAAAAGGTTATCGAGTGGCAGCCTTGTACCGGTGGGCGAAGTGTAGGATGGCCCGCCACTAGACGGAGTGACGATCTTGAGACCTTGTAGGTGATCCAGGAAGTCGATTATGATGATGGCTTTGTGGAGTATCATAACTATAGACTGTGTACATTTTATAATATTATAATTAGTTACGTAGGCGGAATGATAAGTAACTAGCCACTGCCATTTAAAAAATATATATGTCATTTTTAAATTCGTATCTCTGGCCACCTGTGTTATAAATTTGAATTTAATGGCGTAGAAAATTTTATTGATTTTTTGTCATTTGAAAATATATTTCGTCAACTGTTTTCAAAATGGATAAAATTGAACAAAGAGCGGTGATAAAGTTTCTTCATATGAAGGGCATGAAGGGGAAAGATATCTATGAAGAGTTAAAGAATGTTTTGGGTGAATATGCTTCTTCTTATGCCACAGTAAAAAACTGGGTGGCTAAGTTTAAACGCGGTCGTACATGTGTCCAAGATGATGCCCGCCCTGGACGTCCAAAAAGCATCACGACTCCGAAAATGGACGTGAAAGTACATGATATGGTTTTAGCAGATCGACGATTGAAGTTATCTGAAATAGCTGACACTGCAGATATCACAAAAGAACGGGTACATCATATCCTAAGTGAGGAATTAAATATGAAAAACTTATCGGCCCGTTGGGTGCCGCGATTGCTTACGCACGATCAAAAAAGGATTCGGGTGCAAAACTTAAAACAATATCTGGATCGTTTTCAGAGTAATAAGGCCGATTTTTTAAGTTGATTTGTAACAACAGATGAAACATGGGTTCATCATTACACGCCAAAATCAAAAATTCAATCAAAACAGTGGACTCAATCGGGATGCCTGGCTCGAAAAAAAGCCATGGCTGTAAAGTCGGCTGGAAAAGTGATGGCTTCCGTCTTTTGGGATGCAGATGGGATAGATTACGTTCCTAAAGGTCAAACAATTAATGGAGAATACTACGCTAATCTTCTAGATAAGCTTCATCAATGTATTCAGCAAAAACCACCAGGTTTGGCGAAAAAAAAAGCATCTTCCACCAAGACACCGCTAGGGTTCACACAACATGTGTTAAAGCTATGGCAAAAACCAACGAATTGAAGTATGATTTGCTGCCCCACCCACCTTATTTGCCTGATCTAGCGCCATCAGACTTCCACTTTTCCCTAAGCTCAAAACTTTTTTGGGCGGACAGAAATTTGCCACAAATGATGAAGTCATAACCGCTGTAGAGGAGTATTTTGCAGGCCTCGAAAGAAATCATTTTATGGAAGGCATTACTGCTTTAGAACGAAGATGGAATAAGTAGAAGACGTTCACGGAGACTATGTCGAAAATTAAAATTAATTTTATCACGGAAAGTTAAGTGTTTTCTTATTAGGCTAGTTACTTATCATCCCGCCCTCGTATAACGTCAATACGACATTTGCAAAATAATATCGTTTTTTGATGCGCATTTTGTAGAGGTGTTATTTCGTTAGTTAATTATAAATAACTGCAGTTGGGTTATATTTTTATTATTCATTATAATTTATTGCTCACGATCAGTGTTTGTATTCCAGGGCCTATGTTATGTAGTCTCCTGAGAAAAGCGGCGGCTTTGTTAGAGTCGGAAGTAGTTGTGAATTGCCGCGTGACCGGCATACTGTCCAAACTAGTGTCGCTGCCGACTCCTTTACTCGCTTCGCTGCTCGTGTGCCCCGGGTTCATGTTACAGCCTAATGTGCCTTCGTTGTATCAGGTTAGTGGCGTTAGTTAGCGACCATTACACAAACTCAGTTTAGTTTTTCTTTTTTTTATGAGATTATTAAATATTTTAAATGGATGAATCGTGTTCCTTTAGCAATATATTTTGTTTTTTAGACTAGAAACTTTAGTAAGAAAGTGGTATCTGTTATGGTAGTTTTTCTGTTTGACAGATTTTTATCCTTAGTGTCGTACAGACTAATTATTGTATATTAAAATAAATAAAAAAATATGTAATCCTAAATTAAACAAATATTACTGTAATGTGATGTTATGTTGAATACAATAAATGAAAACACGGTCATTACTAGTTCGAAAAAGTTTTTCTAAATACATAATTAATTTTATTCTTATTGAAAATTAAAAAAATCAAGCTAAATATTATACTCTCTAATAAAAAAAATTAACACGCCTTAGTGTCGTTCGCTCTTTCGCTCATTTGTTGTTACGCGCTGCCGCGCTGCGCTGGTTGGATTCATATGAAAGTGGGGATAGAACGTCGAAATGGCAACGTTGCTGTTTTTATTTTGAAAGCACAGTTTATTGATCCCTATTGACCATCTTCTCGTAAAAAGTAATGTACATAGTACATACATCAAGTAACGAAATTAATAAAAACGAAATAAATTTCCTGTCGCTAAACTACATAAAATGTGTTACGGCCCGCAGCTGCCCCTGCAAAGGTAGCCCAGGCTGGGGCCCATAGCAACCTGCTCGACGGGCAGACACGGGTCGGGCCCAAAGGCCATATGGAAGAATGTCCTATCATACTAAGCTATATGGGAGAAGGCTAGGGAAATATAATACTCACCTGTTTCCTACTCTTAGATCGCCCCGGGGCTCGGTCAGGCCGTAAGTGGGTGTAAGGTGAATGGCAAGTAGCGTTCAGTGATATGTAAATGTCTGAGACCTGGACGAGCTTAGGCGACCAGCAGCGGCCGAGTTCCAGGCTGCCCCACAATGCTGCATCACTCCAGCAGGCTCCACCGCTGGACCATTTCTTTCTTCTTTATCACTATTTCAGTCTAATAGCTTCATTGTACATTTAACTAACTTAAACTCGCCTAATACCACATTCATCATAGTGTAGAACACGTGATACCCGACACAGTAAGGACAGTAGTTCAAAATTCGACATTCAATGTCCCGGATTCACTTATCACAAAATTATAAAGAGGGAAATAACGCGATCTCTTAATGAGTCATACGGTTCAGCGTTAAACACAACTAAGTTCCTTCATTCGACACCAAAACACCACGTCGCGAAAAGAATTCAAAATACGCCTCGTTGACACGTAAACTAACAAACCAACCAACACAAAAAAAGGGCACTTAACGCGACGGCACAATTATAATGATTTCCAAACAATCAACCGGGATACGCTCTCGACCAAGGAATGCGCGGTTCGAATCCTAGACCGTATATCTACTCGACGCGCGCGTGCACAATACCGCATCACCCGAACAAGTTAAATATTGCAAAATTCACATATCTACGTAGCGAAGTAACACGCACTAACAAACTATCTGGACCCTACACGGTCGCGTGAACTTCGGCCGCGATAATCGAGATACGCGGGTTCACCGCATCGCGCCCAGCGAAGCACTGTTTCTCGCCCACGAGCGTCACACGCTGGGAAGCTGCCTACCACTCCCCCTCCCCTCGATGCGCGTGACACCTGGTGCCATCGTGCGACTCACGAAGTCGAACGTGATTGGATATCGTACAAATTACCTTTTTTGGCCTAAACAATTTGATTGATTTTTGTTGTACATTCATTAAACCGCTATATAGAATTGCTAGTATAATTTATTGTGTTTAAACGTAGCATCAAACTGTATATATAACACTGCTAAATTATACGATATAAATAGTTTTCAAGTAACTCTTGTAACATATAGATCCTTCATAAACTGAAAGAAGAAGTTGACGAGTTGACGTCCGGACTGGAGAACACGAATGAGCTGGTGGATAAGGCAAGAGTTTTCCTCGTGCAGCGAGAGATGTCGCTAGTTAAGTCGCGGGCGCAGACAAACGACGATGGTGAGTTTTTTTTAATCAATAATTAAAAGTAACAGATCAGGCCTCCTCTTATTATTTTCATTATTATTTCTTATCATTAGAGTCCACCGCATTGCTGTAGTGTGAAGAACGCACTTCATATTGTCTGCAAAACATTTTTAACTTCTCAGGAATGCAGGTTTCCTATTCTGTTCTCATTCTCCGCCGAGCCCGTGGTGAATTTTGTACTGCGGTACAGATAGCTCTGTAACTGTGTCTGTATGTTTGAGTTGGCGTGCTGAGGGCGGCGGGTATATATATATATATCTATAAAACTGCCTTCACGATACAGGAGTGAATCCTAGTGTGAAAGTAGTATTTTTTTTTTCAGAAAAAAAATTTGTACTTACAATTATCAATTTTTGACGGCTCTGTGGCGCAGTGTCTTAGCTATGAGTTGTTGCGCTGGAGGCCGCGGGTTCGAATCCCGCACGGAACAAGTATTTGTATGGCCTACAAATAATTCTTCCTGGTCTGGATGTTAGTCCTCGTGCAATTTATGTTTGTAAACTGCCTCCACGACACAGGAGAAAATCCTATTGTGGGGTAACGTCTTTTATTAAAAATTAAAAAAAATTAAAATATTTGTGGCGGTGGGAACCGAACGCGAGCTATTTGCGAACTGGGAAATTTGTGGCTTACATTTTTAGCTCTCTTAGCTACCAGGTGCTCTACTTTCACAATAATAATCTTATTCCCTAATAATAATCTAAATTCCGTCGGTTTCTCTGCCTTTCCCCCTAACCTTCGGCCGTTCCATCTGATTGGGTTTTATTTATTTATGTATTTATATATTTTATTTTATTGATATTTATGTATGTTCATCATTTTCATTTACAATTATATATTTATACAGCCCAACCAGATGAGAAAACTATATAGATACCCCATATGAAAATAATAGTAATCTAAATTCAATACTGACCAAGTTTTAAGTCTCTACTTGGAGTAGTAAATTCAAATCATACGACGTAGTAATTCATTAAGGGTGGATTCGACCAATCTTAATATAAGTCTTATCCTGAGAATAAAATCACTAATTACTCTCGAGTTAGAGAACTTCCGTTTTACCAAATCTTAACCCAGGTATAACTATCTATCCGAGAGTAAATTGTTATACCGCCAAAATTCATGGAGTAAACAAGTTATCCCAGAGTAATTTAATGGCGGCGGCTACATTTTAACAGCTGATTTCGTATGCTTTGTTGAAAACGTAGGATATTTTATCGTTGTGCATTTATAATTTCTTGTAGGTATTTTTGTGATAATTGTAGGGATTATTTTTTGAAATAATGCAACTGTTCACGCCCAAACGCTGGTTTCGGGATTTGACGCCGGAGGGCGCTCGGCTCGGTGCCATACCGGTTTTGACGTTCGGGCGAGCAGAGTGGCTTTGGTAGAGGGTGCGAGCGCAGAAAGTCAGTTGCTTGAAAGCAGTGCTGTCGAGAGCACGTCGTGAAGTCGCTCGGTATAACCTCCATTTTTTATAGTCGGTTTTGTTAGCATTTTGAGGAGAGGTACGGCGGGGACGGAGCCTCCTATATTCCGCCCTTCAATGGAGGAACTTCACAGCCACTCAGCGGTCAGCTAGACCCTTCTCACCCCCGTTAGCTGAGTAGCCGCGACTGGTGTACCACCGTCCCCCCTTTGATAGAGGCAGCCCAAGCTAGCTCCCACCACGGCCACCTCCACTGAGCCTTTGAGCCGTCAACAGTCCACTTGTCAAACTGTTCTGTTGCCGACGGCCTCAGTGAAGGCGTACAACCCGAGTGGCAACTGTTAGCGGTTTGCGCTCTATTGGTCTCGGGTTCACGCGGTGTGGCCTCCACTTGGTGGTAGGAAGATTAGGGCTCCCCTGGAGCGTTGAATCACGCTGTCAAGGAGTATTAGATTTGGTTTTGGTCGAGCGCTTGGTTAAAAATTCTTTAAATTAAAAATAAAATTGCTTTTGGGTTTTCCGCGAAATGTTTCATATTTGCGGCGGTTGTGATTAAAAGGGTGAATTTGATATACTCCTTGAATATTTGTACATATGTTTTGTAAATATATTTAATCATTATGTTTGCTTTGTTAAAAAGAAAATTGAAATTGAGTAACACTGTTTGTGCCGAAGGAAATAAAAATCAATCCTGTTTTTGCTTTCATAGTTTTGTTGGCATTGTCAAAGATATTTATTTAGAAAAAATAAACTTTTGGCTATCTCTTATGTTTGTCGTTTCGCTGAGTTTGTCTGTTTTGATCTATGCGCATCAAGGAATAAATTTGTTACAATTTATTTTCAAGTTTCATAGTAGTTTTGAGTATTGATGCTTTTGAAATTTGGTTGAAATATGAACATAGGACTACTTGTATAAAGGAGCTTGCTAGTTGTGAGATTGTCAGATCGAAATCAGCTACTGCACAATTAAGTAAATAGTTATATAGTAGATGACGTGATTATGCCTACTGTTTGAAAATCTATACTAAGGACTATCTGTGCGTTTCGTTGGCTCTCCCCAGACGACGTTCATGTGGAATTTGTGGGTGCTCTCTGCACTGAAGCTTAGGAGGCCACGCTGAGCCGCTTCGTATCGCGTCGCTGTTTGCAGACCTGATCCGGTCGGATTGCGGAACGAATCATAGGGGCACAGATAGGTGTTTAAAGAGGTCGTACGTCCAGTACAGGACTTGTTAGGTGCAGCGATATCCAGGAAGGGTATCAAGTGGAGGTTTGAACCTTTGGCTTGCCCACATTGGGGCTGTAATTTTGAGGCGGTGGTGAAGTTTGCAAGATCTGATGGGGTGCCTAAGGTGGCCTAGTTTTGATTGTAGATGCGGTCTTGCAACGTGCCGTCGCGACCCTGTCCCGCTTGCCGGTTTGCTCGCTGACATAAAACCTTATGTCCGGGACGGGGGTTTGTTCACGCCCAAACGCTGGTTTCGGGATTTGACGCCGGAGGGCGCTCGGCTCGGTGCCATACCGGTTTTGACGTTCGGGCGAGCAGAGTGGCTTTGGTAAAGGGTGCGAGCGCAGCAAGTCAGTTGCTTGAAAGCAGTGCTGTCGAGAGCATGTCGTGAAGTCGCTCGGTATAACCTCCATTTTTTAGAGTCTGTTTTGTTAGCAAATGGTGCAACGACGAGGAATTGTAGTCTAGAATTAGACGCCGGGTTGACAAATTGTTAGGAAGTTAACATTGATTGCGATCAACGTCTGAATTTGTGGGTTGTGCGCGCTTAATTTACCACGAATTTGGTTATTCTAATTTGATAGAGTATATAGCTGCACGAGCAAATTAATATTGTCAAATTCACTTGCATTTGACAATATTAATTTGCTCGTGCGGCATTTGATATAGTTCGGAGACATTTTCCGTTGTCGGGTGAACGCTGAACTTCGTGACACTAGAGAAGGTCGTGTTAGGTTCTAGAAATAATTGTTGCCACGCGAAACGGAAGTAACCTTTGATCCGAACATTCGGTATTCGTGTTGTGTGTTACGCTTATAATAAACGGGAGTTAGTTGCGTCTGGAAGTTAGTTATTTGTACGATAACGTTAATAGACTGTCATCGTGAAGTAGAAAGAAAGTGACTGTGTGTGACGCCGCTAGAGATTACCACAATTTGGATCGGTGCCGAAGTCCGGGCTGCTGCCGACTTCAACCGTCCAGTCAGGTCTATCACAACAACACCACAAAAACACCACTACACGCAACACATACACACCTCCGGCCTGACTGAGCCCTGAGACAGTCGTCGCCTCAGATACAGGTAAGTACTCTCTATTCGACTAGCCTCCCCCTTAAAGTGTAGTACCAGGCTCGAACCCGCGGCCTCGTCCTTAGTTGTTCGTCGAGTCTACAGCTATGGGCCCCTGTGTGATCTACCTATGTAGGGACAGCTAGGGGCGTGTACAGTAACATTTACGAAATATAGAAGATCAGAATAAGATTAGAAGAATAATGAACTAACAACTCGACTCGTGTTAATATTCTAGTGTTCAGTGACTAATATAAGTTGATACTAATATAATCTGGCAAAACTAAGTAGACAGAAAATCTTGCATTGCGCTATATAAACAATTGTATTTCGATTTTAGTTGGCTTACTTGTTCATCAATTTTTCATTCACCAACTCTTAGAGTGACAATACCCAGTATTAGCTATTCTACGTTTGTGTTGGAAAAACGCAAACGAAGTTATCTGAGAGTAAGAACAAAGAGTAAAATTATTCGAGGCTTAGTTACTCTGGAGTAACATGGTATTTGGTCGAATCCGCCCTATAGAATTCATTTCTGAATTTAATAATAGTGACAACTAACCACTTAGGTCAAGCGCGAAATCTTGACAATGGAATTTCACGACAAGACGACTCTCCTTTCCGACGTGTGGAGCCGAAGCGACGCAGTTTGTCCTCGAGTTTCTCCAATATGTTCGGAAGACGACATTCTTGTAAGTTGATTATAAATCATCACTAACTATCATCATCATCATCATCATTGCAACCCTTCACAGTTCCACTGCGCAACATGGGCCTTTATCAATAAGAGTCACTCAATGAATGGGTCAGTCAAAAAGTTTACAAAACTAAAAAAATATTCTAAGGTTAAAATGTTTATTATTAACTCTTCAAATTACTCTCTACTAGCAAATTTTACATTATACTACTCAATCTTCTCTCCTACGCTAATTTCAGCCATACAGAAAATAACAGTACACAAATTATTATTCAAGTATAGCGTGCAATTGACCAACTTTTTTATTTCAGCTTCACCCACGCAGAGCCCCCAAAACGTACAAAAATCTCAACATAACACGTCCATACAAAAACAGCTTGTCTTCACACAGGAAGAATATTGGAATCAATCAATTACTCTGCGATCAATTCTAAACGCCATAATATTGGACGAATGGATCAAAGAGTTGGCTGCCTTGTGCGAGGAACACGCTCTAAGGCTCTCATCGGAGTATTACGAAGACAACTCGTATATACGGACAGTGGCGTTATGACTGAGGGCCAACGCCTCTACGGGCAGAAAAATTATTAAAACGGTGATAACAGAACGCTCAAACGATACAAGAGTGTGACTTATATTAATTCGCCCCTAAGTAAATAAGTAGTCATTTGTCAACGCCGCCCAATGCAATTTATAAATTAAAGTGAAAAACAATAGCCTTACAAATAATTTCTGTAGATATTATATTATTACAGAAGTAATGTCTTAAGTTGCGATTATAAAATTACGGATGTTATGCTTTAAGCTAACACACTGTAATCGTTTGATGGAATCATTTGCAGGATAAAGAGTAGCCTCATCAAATTTTATTGCTACAACAAATTTATGGAATCCAGATTTTTTTTTTGGCAATGACAATATTTACCCAAGTACATATTAAAAGTCAACACAGAAATAATCAGAAATTCTTTACTTTTCACTTTTTAGTTTGGTTTTAGAAAGTATAACATCTGGTTTCACTATTAACTACAGAAAATTCTACCTTTTTTTGCAGTCATTTATTAAAAAATGTTTCATTTTTTAATATATATTTGTTAACACGTCGGAGATCTTAGTATACAGATAATATAAGTTTTATTTAGCGAACAAATTAATATAAGTTTTAAAGATTATTTTTTTCTATATGGATTTTTAAACATCACATACTTAATTATATGTACCTTTATGCCTAATTATAAAATTTTACTTGCAACTTTTGTAATGTAATCGAGAATGCCATTAACGTAATTTTGAACTGTGATTTTAAAATGTTCAAACATCTAATTAAATCGTTATTTATTGTAAATATATAAAACTACGCCTTACCGATATTTAGAGATAGCTGCATTTTTTATCACTATAGTGATAGTTGTTCTAAGTATAATACAAATTTTACAATTTTAAGTTTTTTTTTTTATAAAATCGACATGTTTTGTGTTATGTATAATGTAATTTAAGTATATTTTTAGAAAGTTTCCTTCTACTTTTGTGACATTTATTTGGAATTTATGTTTTGATTTCAACAATTTGTTATTTTCGTATAACGATAAATAATTTATAATGCAAAAACAAAAGCGGTTATTTCTATATAGCCTAATAGATAATTGTGTAAAAATTGTAATAGAAAATTGTGCTTACACAAGCCAGTTTCATTTATTCTTATTTTGTATATTCTCTTTCTAATGTATGATTATGTATAAAATCCCAGTGCAATATGAGCGAAATTTTATAGAAATAACTGTTATTGTACAAATCATGATTTTATTTTACTAAATTAATATTTTCCTATTGTTTACCGTCTCCTTGCAGAAGCAAAACGTACTTTTCCGTCCAGGGAATACCAAACTTGCGATGTGTAACAACATAAATGTAACAATAACACTTGAGCAGTTGTTATATTTGCACTAAGAGTAATTTTAATTTATTTTAATTTAATTTTTATCATTTAACATATAACGTTAACAAAAATACGATAAATGATTTTTCACGGAATAGTAACCATCATTATTGATAAATATTGTATGCCGTGTTAATTTTATTAATTCTATAATAATTATATCTAATTTTTTTTCCAATTTTACAATTTAAAAAGGAATTAAATGTACCATGTAGTGACATTTTATCGAATAAGCAGTGCACAAACAGTGCACTCATAAATAGGGTTGTGTATAATGTAACGAATTAATATATAATAATAGCATTTGAAAACTTATCCGTGAGCAAAAATACACACGCAACGTCTATGAAACTAATTGGTAAAGTGATTCTGCACAAAATATTAAACCTGTGTATTTAAGAAAATGGTTTTATAATTCTCTATATTTTGAATTTTTTACATACTTAATGAATAAAACATGTGAATTTTTTAAAATGATTTATTTATTTATTTCAGAACTCGTGACTATTTTTATATCGGTTTTGTCATAAATTCTATAACCTTATTTGCAAGAATCACAATATAAGAAGTTACAATTTACCCAGTGAAATCTTGTTTCGCCAACAGTAGCACATAGTATGCAAATAATAATCTTAAACTATTTATATGATAATATTGATTAAAAGTTTTAAATAAAAAGCTTTTAGTTTTCAACCAATCATATAAATATTTTTGATAATTTAAATTATTTAGGTATTTTATAATATGTTTTCTTTCACATATTTAGTATATTTTTGTTATATTTAATGAGACTAGGAACCTCATCTAGGAAAAGTTTGTCTGGGTCACTTCGGTTTCGGGAATTTAAATTATTGCTTCTTTATTTTATTTTCTTTATATTAATAGTGATTTACAGGACTCCTCTAGCGATATCCCATATATTGCACAATTACATTTTTTTAAACAACTAATTCTCTTTCCGGCAGTATTATTACCCCATTTTAAAAGCCCATATCTTAAAAGACAGACTACGTATACTTAGTATGTTGCAATTGCAGTTTTAATATTTGTAACGTTTGTGACATTTTTGGGGGCTTATACAAATTTATTAATAGTGCTGTATAGTAATCCGACAGTTTCAAGACGCTCTCGACCAAAAGTCACTCCCGAGCTACTTCACTACTGGGATCACTCATTTGATTCCTAAAGACCGGGATTCCACAGATCCGAGCAAATACGGGCGGCATTATGGGTCTACCCACCATATTGTTGCGCGCCACAATTAATGCCTGGTACACGGCGACACTATTTACTACTACCGCCTTCTAGTATCTAGTAGCAGAACTAGGAGAGTCAAAGATCGTTCTAGAAATTTCCATGGAAGGACTCTAGAACTATTGACGCCTAGTCAGTCGATAGGTGTCGATAGTTCTAGTAGCAGTATATAAGACACTGACATCCATTTTGAGTACGCGAATCATTGGTCACCTGGATTTAAATCAGATGATGTCGCGTGCTCAAAATGGATGTCGGGGTGGTGGTCGTGGAATCAAAGAACCACTCCTCATTGACGCGTTCATTGGCAATGTGGTTAAACGCAACTGCCGGAACTTATCCGCCGCCTGGACAGACTATAGAAAGGCATTCGACTCGGTGCCCCATACATGGCTAAAGAGGATCCTCGAGCTGTACAAGATTGACTGTATAGTTAGAGACTTCCTCGAGCAGTGTATGTGGCAGTGGAGTACAATCTTTTGTCATCTAGGTGAGCGGATGACGGATGGGGAAAGCCGCATAAGGATAAAAAGGGATTAGGTTCAAATCTGATTTTGCCTTTCCCTGAACCCTCTTAGTACCGTACTGGAGGACTCCGGGAGGGGATTTCAGCTTCGGGAAGGAGATACAAAAGTAACCCACATTTTCTACGGTTGATCTCAAATTATTCGCCTGCAGTCGCTTTCGTCTTACGGAATGGCATAAACATTATTTGTGCTTTTAGTAATTCTATTAGAATGGAGCTGGGGACGGATAAGTGTGCGGTCCTCCATGTTGAAAGGGAAGGGTTGTTAAGTGAAGGCTGAGGGCATAGACTTATCTATATATATATATATATATATATATATATATATATATATATATATATATATAGACTTATCTATATATATATATATATATATACAGCCTTTTATTGGGCGTTAATAAGATACACGCATGTAACGGTTGGGTCATGCCTAATAAAACCTATTGCAAATGAAAATTGCGAGAATTAAGTATACCGCGCCGGGGCATTAAAAAAATAAATATTAATTCATTAATATTTATTTTTTAATGCCCGTAGCCTATCGAAGTCCATTGCTGAACATAAGCCTCCCGAAAGATTGCCTCATAAGGGAGATATTTGCCACGTTTGACGGACGGGTTGAGAATCAAAGTTTTTTTTTCTAGTTGCCAATAGGAAAATCATGCCATCCATCTCCTGGTTTATTCTCCTATATCTCTTTCAATAGCCACGGGATGACAGAGTAGTGGATATTTTTTTACACTGCCACTACAAAAACGAACATCGGCAGGTCTGATTATAGTGATAGATCATTCAGATAAATAGGGATTAGAAGGATTGTACTTTTTATAACGTATGTCCATAGAGCAACGGGGGACTGGAGAGGAGTAGCCATTGCGTTTCACCCCGATACAGAACTGTCTGTAATTTTTTGCAGTGGAACTGCACACACAAAAACAAACATCTGTCACTACGAAAGTCGCACATAACAAATAAAACAATATACTATTTCACACACACACGAATACATTATAATATTATCCCTCGGTGACAACGCAAACTGATACAGACTCGGAGCATTTGCTCGAGTGATCTGGATATTGTATGAGTTTACACGGTCTGTATAAACAAATCCTAAAACCACGACCGTTTTTATAGTGATTTATAAGTTTATAAATAAATAAATAGCAATATTGTGATTAAAAATTACTTTTAAATGAAAGGTAACATCATCTTTTTCTAAATTTGACGTGGCAAATCTAATTTTGTAACAAAAAAGAACAATTCAGCATTTTTGTACAACATCCATTCAGCCGTGCAACTAGATTGGTCTAGTGAACAATGCGGCTGCAACTAGTTTTATTGTACGCATAGGACCGCGTAGACTTAAACGTTGACAGAAGGGAACGCCTCCGTATGGCTACTTCCCTCCTATTCGCCGGTGGCTCGTGTTGCTCTATGCTTATTTATGTCATTAGAAGAAATATTATACGAGGGCGACACTGAAAGTTTTTACAACTGGCCAATTATTATAAAGGATATAATAAAAAAATAAGTTCAAGTTTTGAAAATGGAACTCTTTGCCAATATCATTGTGTAGGTATGTATTTTATTAATTTGTCATTTGTTTACGATTTGGCAGCAAATAGAAAATTGTCTGTGTCACGTCAGCATGAATTTAACGCGAGAAAATTTTCGTACAGTGTATTTTATGACTTTCGATGTCATTTAAGTCAACAAGAAAGTTATGATAGACTTCGATTGGCCTTTCACGATGATGCCCCATCTCGTGCCACTGTTTAATGAATTTAAACGCTGTTGCACTAATGAAAAACGATGATCTACGTGAGGGACGGCC